ATCCTCTGAATCTGAGGTGGGGGGGAAGAAGAAAGCGAAGACAAAACACCTTACCCAAAGGGGACCATCCAAAACAGCTGAGTGAGAGGCCTTGAGGAGACATTTGGCTCTAGAAAGACAATTTGCCAGGGCCCAGAAGACTAACTCCAATGGGACAAACATGGTTTCCCCTGCCCCATTGGCGGCCCCCTCGGCAGAACCTACTTCCCAGGAAGTTCTCAGAACTTGGTCTCCTCTGGGGGAAATCGAACAGTTAGACTCCTCTCATTCCTCTTCACCAGCATCTACACCAGACCATACTCCCACTGTAGCTAGGTCCAAGGACAGAGCTCAGGAGGACATATGGTCAGCCCAATTTCAGGCATTCATGCAGGATGCCTTTTCTCAATTTATGGCCTCTAAGGGCCAATTACCTTTTCAACCATCCCATAAGGGACGAAACAGGGCTCCGCCTACTAACATTTCTGAGACTTCCTCTCAGATAGGAGAGGGAGACTCATTAGATCTAGACATGACAGACATGCCCCTTTCGGAGGATGAGGGGAACGCGCCTGAGCAGGCGACGAGCTCTGGCCTCTTTGATCCAGCGCTTCTCAAATCACTTCTGACAAAGGCAGTCTCAACAGTCAATTTGACCTCAGTCCAGGAGGAGAATCCTTCCACAAGCAAGGAAGCAAACCCTCTCTTTGCCAAAAAAGTCCCACAGGACAAATACATCCCCTGTCCGGAGGTCTTCCGCACCACGGTAGAGGAGCAATGGGTTTCCCTTGCAACTCCACCTACACCCAATAGCGTGGAAAGGAAGCTTTTCAATGTGTCCCCTTCCTTTTCGGGCATGCTAGATGTCCCTGCAGTAGATAGTCCCCTGATCTCATTATTTTCTACCTCTGCGATTCCAGGAGACATGGCGGAGGCCTTGAAACCAGAGGAAAAGAAATTTGAACATTCCCTCCGTCGTTCCCACATGGCCGCAGCTTGGGCGGCCAAGGCAGCAACATCATCATCCTTCTTCGCAAGGACCTGCATCATGTGGCTGCGGGAGTTGCAAACCACTGTACCTCCAGATCAGGTCAGAGCGCACCAAACTTTGGCCAAGATACTGGCCGCCTCACAATTTATGGCTGACGCTTCACTGCACGCAACCAAGTATGTGGCAAGATCTATTGCTGCCACAGTGGCCTCTCGTAGACTACTGTGGCTCAAAAATTGGAAGACAGATCTGAAGGCCAAGTGGCGTCTTTCGACGTCCAAGTACAGTGGGTCATCATTATTTGGATCCATCCTAGATCCACATGTAAGCGAGAGCAGGGATAAGAGAAAGATTCTAGTCCATCCATCAAAGAAATTAGACAGAAAAAGCAGTCAGGAGTTCCGGAGGCAAAGTTTCCGCCCAAGCAACTCCTGGGACTGGAGACAACCCTTTCGATCAGGGCAATCCTGGGACTGGCCTAGAGGCTCACGATCCTTCTACTCGAGGCAGGATCGTCCCCAGGATCGCCAAAACATGGGAGCCAGAGGCCAGTTCCAGTCCAGACGTTCCTTTAGAGGATCGGGAGGCCGACCCTTTAAACGCGCCAAGTGACGCCAGGCAGGACACTCCCATAGGGGGTCGGTTAGGCAATTTCATCGAAGTCTGGGAGCAGACCACTACCGACGCCTGGGTCTTGGAGACGGTCTGGCATGGTCTGACCTTAGACTTTTGTTCTCCCCCACCAAACCGGTTCATCAGATGTCCCATCTCCAGGAAAGCACACAGGGCAAGGTTGGTTACCTCGGCCATAGCACACCTCCCGTCAATTCAGGCCATAGAGAAGGTACCAAAAGGAGAGGAAGGAAGAGGATTTTATTTTATCCTCTTTGTGCTCCCAAAGACATCAGGAGGGTGGAGAGCAATATTGGACCTAAAGGGCCTGAATTATTACGTGAATTACAGGAGGTTCAAGATGCAATCCTTGAAATCCATCCTAGCCAGTGTCAGGAAGGGCGACCTCCTGTCCTCAATAGATCTCACGGAGGCGTACCTGCATATCCCCATCCATCCCAGATACCGGAAATTCCTCAGATTTACCTAAGCGGGCCGGCATTACCAATACAGGGCCCTACCCTTCGGTCTATCCTCAGCCCCAAGGGTATTTACCAAAATTCTAGCAGTAATAGCGGCCCATCTCAGGCTGATGCCGGTGCGCGTACAGTTTTATCTGGACGACATCTTGATTCAGTCCAGCTCGCAGGAGCAGGCAAAAGTAAACTTCCAGACCACAATCCGAATCCTACAAGAGCACGGATTCTCGGTCAATATAGACAAGAGCCATCTCACCCCCTCAAGGAAACTGCAGCACCTAGGCGCGGTGATAGACTCGTCCCAGTGCAGGGTATACCTTTCCCAGGAGTGTCAGACCAGCATCTCCAAGCTAGTTCACCAAGTTCAGAGAAACAGGAGAGTACCTCTGATACAGCTCTCGAAGCTCCTGGGAAAGATGATATCTTGCATGGGCATTGTCCCATGGGCAAGACTCCACTCAAGGGAGTTGCAGTGGTTCCTCCTCCCCTACTAGAGGAGGAATCTCAGTACCTCCAACAGGAAGGTCTTGGTGCCAGAACAGGTACTGAGATCACTGAATTGGTGGATATCTCCCATGATACTCAAGGGGAGTATATTCAGGGAGCCGAACAGGATTACGCTCACGACAGATGCGAGCCTATTCGGATGGGGAGCACATCTGGGAACCCAGATAGCACAGGGCCAGTGGGATCAGAAGGACCTTTCTCACAGCATCAATTGGCTGGAGCTTCGGGCCATTCACCTGGCTCTACGTCAATTCTCCCACCTAGTAACGAGAAGACACGTTCTCGTTCTAACAGACAACGTAGCAGCCAAGGCCCATGTCAACAAGGAGGGAGGAACACGATCCTCGGAACTAATGCAGGAGGCATCAGCTCTGGCTCGGTGGGCAGAAGCAAATGTGAGTTCCATCAGAGCGGAACACATCTCAGGGGAGACAAATACCCAGGCAGACTCCCTGAGCAGAGCCAAGGTGGATCAGTCGGAATGGCGTCTGGATCCAGCTCTGTTCGAGGAGATCTCCCGGAGGTTCGGACAATCGCATCTGCACCTATTTGCCACTCCCAAGAACACTCAACTCCCCAGGTTCTTCTCCAGATTCCTGACTCCGGGATCGAAGGGAATGGACGCTCTCAGGTGTCGGTGGCCGGCGCAACTTCTATACACCTTTCCACCGCTGCCATTAATACCGGCAACCATACGCAAGTTGATCCTGGAAGGTGCAGAAGTAATCTTGCTGCTCCACATTGGCCACGGCACCCGTGGTTTGCCGACCTCGTGGATCTTTCAATATCACCCCCGTGGAGGATTCCCCTGGACCGAGTAATACTCAGTCAGGGCAAACTTTTACATCCAGATCCTCAGTGGCTACAAATAGCTGCTTGGCATTTGAGCGGCAAAGTTTAGCCAAGCAATCCTATTCCTCAGGGGTGATATCGATCATACAAGCATCAAGATGACCTTTGACAAACAGGATCTACGATGCTACTTGGAAAGGTTTTTGCAGGTGGTGCGTCCTACTTCACCTAGATCCAACCTCAGTATCTATTCCCAATATTCTAGATTACCTATTGGAAGGACTTAATAAGGGCTTGTCAGTCAACACTATTTGTAGACAGGTATCGGCCCTCTCAACTGTACTTTCCTGGGACAACTTAACCTCTCTGGCGCAACATCCAGCGATTAGCACCTTTTTGAAGGGTGCAGCCAATACTAAACCTCCTGTTATACACAGGTACCCGTCATGGAATTTGCCCAAAGTTCTTCAAGCTTTGACATCAGCACCCTTTGAGCCTCTTGACTCATGTTCTCTGTATCACCTATCGTTAAAGGTAGCCTTTCTAGTGGCTATTACTTCAGCGAGAAGAATCTCGGAACTAGCAGCACTGTCAGTGAGGAAGGATCTCTGCACCTTCTTCAAAGACAAGGTCATTCTTAGACCAGACCCTGCATTCATTCCAAAGGTAAACAGCATCTTCCACAAGTCTCAGGAACTGATTCTTCCTGATTTCTGCCCAAAACCTAGACATAGACTAGAACAGAGATGGCACAAGCTGGATGTATGTAGAGCATTGTGTTTCTACGTAAAGCGCACTTCGTCCTTCCGTAAGACGGAAGCATTATTTGTTTCCTTCCAACCATCAACTATGGGGAAGAAGGTGTCATCTTCTACCATAGGTAGGTGGATCAGAGCCTGTATAGCCCAAGTCTATGTCTCGCAGGCACTACCAGTGCCCCCACACATGACTGCCCATTCAACACGCAGCGCAGCCACATCGGCTGCGTGGTCCACACAAGCATCGGTGGAAGAGATTTGCAAGGCCGCAACTTGGTCTTCTCCCTCCGTATTCATTAGGCATTACCGTTTAGACTCCTTTGCAGCAGCGGATGCTGCCTTTGGTAGAAGAGTGCTACAGCAAGTTGTATCTGCTCAGGATTCAGTGGCCTAGACACCCCCCCCCCGGGACATGAGGGCTTTGGTATGTCCCAACCATTGGACTCTACAGCCATCCTGCTGGAGAAGGGGCGTTGTCTTACCTGAACGCCTTTTCTCAGCAGGATGATGTAGAGTCCAAGCCCACCCAGGTATTAGGTCTAGGCAGGTATTGGACAAGGAGCTACTGTATCGAATCCAACAAACAATTCTCGCCTAAGTCAAAACGGGTCACGCCCAAGGGAAGGGTGTGGCCAAAGTTTTTACCCAGTCTGCCGGGCAGGAAGGCTGTCATAGAACCCAACCATTGGACTCTACATCATCCTGCTGAGAAAAGGCGTTCAGGTAAGACAACGCCCCATTTCTTTCCACATTAAACATACAGCCCTTAACCTATTATGGGTACAGTAATTCAGAAGTATTATTATACATGGCAACACCTAAAATGATGAGGTAGAGTTGTACACCCAGCAGAACAACCAGAATCAAAAATACAGTACTTACACTTTCACTTTGAAAAGGATTTAGAAAGTTACTCCCCATTTCACCATCATCTCGAGGGGTCCCAGGCTGATTGCTCATACTCATATTACTTGGAGAATTCTATTTGGAAAACAAAGCAAGATCAAAAGCATAAATCATATGAAACTGTTTTAAAGCATCCCATGAAAGATACTTTTCTTTCACGCACAAGTACAATTTCCTTATTCTTAAGGGTGAGAGAAACGCATATTCAATAAGGATTTTCTTATATTTCATGTCCCTATTATAACCTTGGTAAAAATCACAAAGTCATGATAGGGCTGATGATTTAGGGCCACAGCACAAAACTGTTCTGAAGCCAACCATGACATTTTCATTTCTGTTAGCACTGAAATGCTGATAGATGTGCAGAGTGTCATAGTTCCAACAGATGAAACTCTTCACAAGAACTTCAAGGCATTGTTTACAAGGTTTACATGAAACCAATCCATCATCTCTTAACTATTATAAAAGTTGTATTCAAAAGTTTTGAAAACGTTTTTTTCAATACTGTAGAGCTGTTTTCAATTTATCTTTCTTTTTCTGAAGATTGTGTTGGAACAAATAGATATGTCTTTTGCAAATAGAATAAGAGAGTTGGAAGGGATTTTGGGGGTCTTCTAGTCCAACCCCCTGCTCAGGCAGGAAACCCTATACATTTCAGACAAATGGTTGTCCAATCTCTTCTTAAAAATTTTCAGTGTTGGAGCATTCACTTCTGGAGGCAGGTTGTTCCACTGATTAATTTTTCTAACCGTCAGGAAATTTCTTCTTAGCTCTAGGTTGCTTCTCTCCTTGATTAGTTTCCATCCATTGTTCCTTGTCCTGCCTTTAAGTGCTTGGGAGAATAGCGTGACTCCCTCTTCTTTGTGGCAACCTCTGAGATATTGGAACACTGCTATCATGTCCCCCCTAGTACTTCTTTTCAGAAAAGAATGGGAGACAGGATTTTATTTACATTTTTAAGGCTGCCCAATTCGATGATGATTCTAGATGCACATTTGTATTTAAGTTAGGCATACATTACATATTTTAACTGCTTTGGGTTAAGACCTCAACTGAGCAGAATTATCAAGTAGGATTGTACCTTGGGTCTCATAATGAAATTATGGTCCCTCCTCCATATGGCACCTTACATGAAATGCCTCCTCTTTTTTCTTCCTTAACTTTAACTTCCTTAATTTAAGAGTGAATAATAAGAATGGGGGAAAAACAGATATAAGTACTTATTTTGAAAGGATGGATGGAAACAAGGTCATAGAGTTCAGTAAAAGTGGTTGGGTCATTACCAAAAAGAGAATGAGAATAGTGACTGGTAATAGCTGCTTTGAAAAAAAAGTTTCTTTCAAATCCATCATTTAAACAAGTCTCCTCATATGTACAATAGGGAAATCAATGAATCTTAGAGGTTAATTGATTGGATTATTTATGATTAGTGAAGAATTCAAGGGTGGTAAAAAGTTTTGAATATGGACAAATTCTTCATTGTATTAAGAATAGATTTTGGAAACGATGATAGAAGAAAAAAATGTGAAAGGAATGAAAGTAAAAGTAAAAACGAATACAGTAAAACACGAGCCTGTATGAAAAAAAAATTAGAAGACAGATTAATGTCCCAAGAGAATGATGGAAAGAAGATGAAAACAGAGAGAATATGGAAACCAGAGTAAGAATATTACAGAGTATCACAGATATGTATGGAATTATGCTTATGAAAAGAGGATATTTGGGTTAGAAAAATGCACTTGAGAATGCTGCATGAAATAAGAATGAGAGAAAAGGAAATGAAAAAAAAAAAAGAAAGTTTCAAATATATAGTCAAAGAAATCAAGAATGGTTTAAGATAAGTACCAGAAAGTTAACCAGATGTTAATATAGTTTTGGAATTCTGTAAAGAGGACTAAGTAAGATACATGTAACAATGAATGGGATTAAAATAAAAGTAATGTTTAAGACAAAATTTATTAAAATGAATTTATACATGCCATAAGGATGCTGAAAAATGCTACAGCTGCAGGTATAGATGGTTAACTGGAGAAGTGTTAAAACATGGATATGGCTTCCTCATGGAGTGGCTGTGTGATTTAGTGAATGTCATGTAATTATTATTTCATTACACAAAAGAAAAGATAGCAGGAACTGATGCAAAAACTATGGGGGATTTATTTAAGTGTGCCTGGAGAAGCATATGGCAGAATTTGGATTTAAAGAGGTGATAATGAGCAAATCTGTTAAGAGCTGTCTGGTTTTATTATGAGAAGAGTAGTTTACAGACCAAATTTTTGCTTTTCAGCAAGTCATTGAAAATGTATGAATGTGAGAAAGAAATTTCACTATATGTTTGTTGATTTAAAGCATGTTATAAAGTAAATATGCTTAAATTATGGAATGTTTTGCATAAATATTGATTGGATGTTGATTGCTGAAAATGATAAGAACAGCATATAAAGGAAATACGACGTTCGTGAAAATAACTTCAATACTTAATACATAGTTCAGCACTGAGCAGGGAGTGAAATTATATGTTATCCCTTTGTTTGTTTAATTGTGGATAAATGTGCAAGGAATGCTAGTGACGATAGCAAAGATGTTTGGTTGAGTACACGAATATATACTTTTGCATTCAGATATGTCATATAATTGACTCAATATATAAATGTTGTTATAATGGAACTGTATATGGATGTCCAAGAAGTATAGTGAACAGTTTAGGCCTAAAACTAATTGTAATAGTTTTCTTCTTTTTATCTCATGCTTTTAATTTCTTTGACTATTCCTTACTTCCTGAAAGTGAATAATGTGGTAAATATGTCTGTAGAATAATGTCTGTGAATACTGTATGTCTTTGAGAAAATCAACAATGAACTTTAAGAAGATGAAAAGAACAAATTGTAGCCAGAGTCACCCATAGTTTAAGGAGAAAATTCTTATAAGTCAAGGAAAACCACCTGGAAAAATGTATTTAATTTATATGTTTTTAGAAAGAAGGCTCATATCTACATTTCTATGGTTTGAGACACAAATAAAATAAAACTCAGCCACAAATAAAATAAAACTCAGCCACTTTAATAAAAATTAGGATTTAGTTCATGAGCCACAGATACATGTTGCAATGTACATATGCAGATTTCTGTTGTTAGGAAAATTGGGAATATTTTTATACATCTTCAAAGTCAGCATTTTCATTTTAGAACAGATATTTTTAACGGTCCTTTGTTTAGAAGAAAAGCAATGTTGAAAATAAAACGTATACTTACTTTGGAGATGCTGTCCATATCTCCTGAGCCTTAAATTTAAAAACAAAACCCTCAATTTAATTAAACCAATGTAAACAATACATTCATTTAAATCTTAAAACATCTTGCACTTTTCCACACTGATGATTTTAAATTTAGAGGCCTCACATGCTCTCATGTCTAAAATCCTAGTACTTTTTCAGATTGCTTTCTGAAGAATTGAAATTAAAATGTTTTTAGAAATTCTAACCTAAGAGGTTACAAGAATGTAAGGAATAATGCTCTATGTCAGAGTTCTCCAACCTTTCCGGACTCACAGCCTGGAGGGGAGAGCACCTTCCAAATTACTGTGTGCGCATACATGCCCGCAAACAGGGCCATGCCCACTGGGCAGTACTAGTGGCCGCATTTGCGCATGCATCATGCGCTGGCGTCATGCACATGCCTGACTGCTGTGTCCACGCAAATGTGCAAACAGGCCACAGGCACTAGCGGGGGAATGCGCGCTCAGGCATGCGTGCCCTAGCTAATCATTTCCGCAGACTGCTGGCCAAGAGCCCGCAGCCCGGTGGGCCCCTGCTCTATGTAATCCCAAAATTACATAAAGAATAGGCTTTATGTAATTTTATTTCGTTTTGCACTTGCACTGATGGTGCTATCTCAAACAGTATTGTTCAAATAATGTTTATATACTTTTTCCATTGATGTTAGTATGCGTGCTATTACAATTATTTAAATGCTTCCTACTCAACAAATCTAGATGTCTTATAATAATCCCATTAAACATATCCATAAAAATTATAAGCCATTAAGTATTTTTTTAAAGGCTGCTGCATGCTTCCATTTAAACTCAATCCCTAAAAGCTTTGTGGAAGAGGATGGCTGATGTATAAAAGGATGAAAGTTAGCTTGACTTGATACAATGAATTATTCCAAAGTGAGATGGCTCCTACAAAGAAAGCCATTTTTTAGTTTTCAAATCCCCTGATCACTTTTAGGATGGGAACTGCAGCTTTCTGTCCTGGCCAGATTATTTAGAGTCTTTCCACTGAAGGTGGTAAACTAAGGATCAACTTCTTGAACTGAAACGTATTGCCAACCAGAGCAGCTCTCATGAAAGAGATGCTATTCTACTTTATAGGCTAGGAAAAGCAATAGGTAATATCTATTTTGCCCTAACTGGAGTTTCCAGGTTATTTTGAGGGCAGTCCCATGTTGAGTGAATTGCAGTAGTCTAACTGGGAGATAACAAAATTATAAGTCTTCTGTGCTTCCTAGTTCAGAGCAGCCCCTATCAGATATGCCAAAATTGGTTAGAGGTGCTCTTGGCTAGTTTCTATCTGATATTCTAGCAGAAGCCATGAATCTAAGAGAACGCACACATTACATACTAGTTCTTTCTGGTAAAGTGCAATTTTGTCAAGATAAATAAATGAAACTTCCATAGAACAAATGGGTTTTTGTATGAACAGTAACTCAGTCTGCTAGGATTCAACCTCAGTCTATTTTTCTCTCATAGCCTCCAAGCCCTGGTCAGGATTTACACAGCATTTCCTGTTTGGTCTGGGATTGAGATATAAAGCTGAGTATCATCAGCATGTTAAATATACTGCACCCCAAACTAGCATATCTTTTTCAGCAATTTCATGTTGATATTAAATAAGAAGGAAATGAGGGGCAAGCCCTGAGGCATCACACAGTTGACTGGCCAAGGGCTAAACGTCTTCTTCAAAAACATTGACTGGAATTGCCTGCCCTGGAGGAAGCAGAACCATACTTACAGCATCCCAAATATCCAGCCTTCACTGAGTTACCATAGTTGATGGCTGTTGAAGCCAACAGGATGAGGAGAAACACAACTTCCTCCCTTTTCAATATGTGCAAAACACAACATATAAGCATAGATTTATAATTTAAGAATAGGAAAGATGTCCCTTTCATGATCCTTCAACATTTTTTTCCTAATTTAAAGATCTCATCTTTATTTGTAATTTCTAACTGCAGACAAAATTTTAAAAAGTAATGAAATAGTTCAATATGATATTTTTTAAACTGGATTCATTATCTAGCACAAAATTTAAAAAGGCAAATTATATTCTTACCTAATGATCCATTCATATGATGTGAATCCATTCCACTTAATCCACCCATTGGACCATCAGACCCTGGTCCCATTGGAAACTGCAAAAAGGGCAAATGCATCATACTCCAAAAATATTAATAAATAATTTGTAACAAAGTGGAAAAAAATACGATAGAGAAAATACAGCTCACAAGATGTAATAAAGAAAGAGGTTAAGAAAATGTCTATGATATCTCTATAATAAATAACTAGATAAATAGATAGATAGATAGAGAGAGAGAGAGAGAGAGATAGACAGATAGAGAGATAGACAGACAGATAGACAGACAGAGAGACGGACGGACGGACGGACAATTAGAACATTTAATTATTAAAATGTTGGATTTGAGGAGTCAGGCATAATTTTAAATGTATGTATTTATTCCTGTTATTTACATTAGGTCTGTTGGCTCCAGGAGGTACTGCATTCATTAAAGTATACATGTTATCTCCAGAGTTGGTTGAATCTGAAAACAAAAAGGCTGTTAAAAACCAAGTACTTTCAATGAAATCAATGAAAATAATGAACTGTTATTTTTAACAAAAGACATTTCCAACTGGATTATTATTAACATTCTATAAATCAAGTATAAGGTACTTCACAATATCTACAGCAGGGATCTTCAAACTTGACCCTTTTATGACTTGTGGACTTCAATTCCCAGAATTCCTCAGCCAGTGTGCCTGGCTGAGGAATTCTGGGAGTTGAAGTCCACAAGTCATAAAAGGGCCAAGTTTGGAGACCCCTGATCTACAGCCACCCATAGTAGGCATTTATTTCAAAGTAGTAACTATATATTAGAATCCAGATCATGATGAAGTACAGGTAATCCTCAATTTACAACAGTTCATTGAGCGACTGTTCAAAGTTACAACAGCACTGAAAAATGTGACCTTTGCAGCATTCCCATGATCATGTGATCAAAATTCAGATCACTGGCAACTGGTTCACATTTATGACTGTTGTTGTGTCCCAAGATCATATGATCACCTTTTGCAACCTCCTGACAAGCAAAATCAATGGGGAAGCCAGATTCACTTAACAACTGGGTTACTAACTTATCAACTGCAGTGATTCACTTAACAACTGTGGTAAGAAAAGTCGTAAAATGGGGCAAAACACATTTAACAAATGTTTCACTTAACCACAGAAATTTTGAGCTCAATTATGATCATAAGTTGAGGACTACCTGTATTCCATTAGTAAGCAAAATTGTTGGGATTAATGGCAGAGATATCCTTGTAGGATTGTAGATAATATGTGTATGCATTTATTTATGAAATACAAAAAGATGCAGAGCAATAATAAGAATATAGAATGAGTTTTTAAAGTTTTGTTTGGTAAAGTGTCAGTGTATTAATCTATATTTAAGCTTTTAAATATATGCTTTAATTATTTTTAAAAAATCATCTATATTTTTTGCACAAAAAAACAGAAAATAAGAGAAATACTGTATTTATCTGAAAAAAACCCCACAAAAACTATTTTTATTTCCAAATAATACAACTTTAATAAGCCATAATTTTAGGTTAGATAAGAGTGTAAAGGGAGCCAGTTTGGGGTAATAGTTAAGGCATCATGCTAAGGACCAGGAGACCATGTGTTCTAATACCACCTTAGGGAAAAGTCAAATGGGTAACTTTGGGCAGTCATGCTCTCTCAGCCCTAGGAAAGAGACAGTGGCAATTTTGAAATTTTGCTAAGAAAACTGTAAGAACTAGTCCAGGTAGTTGCCAGAGGTAACTATTTGTCACTAGATCAGCTTTTGTAAGTATTCTTTTCTTTTCATGGAATTATCTTAAATTCAGAATCATCACTTTTTTTCCAGATAAATACAGTAGTAAAATATTGCCAGCATTTTTGTTTTATATCCACTATTATGTTTGACAGAAATAATCCCAGAGTGAGGAAAACTGTAATACGGCATTCTGAAAATGTAGACAAGATCAAGGAAATTACACATTATTTCATAGTTTTGCATTAATGCCATTTTAGGCAAATACGGTAATTAATAAAAAAACCAATACTATAGGTCAGTGATGGCGAACCTTTTAGAGACTGAGTGCCCAAAAACTGGCCCTGCCCCCTGCTCCACCCCCTGCACCGCCCCCACTCTGCCCCATCCCCCACCCCACCTGCCCACAGGATCACTCACCGCCTCCAGGGCCCACCGCAGATTGCCCAGGCAGCCCAGCAGCACTATGGTGGCCACACCCTCTGCCCATGCCCTGCAACATCAACTGCATGATGGGGTGTGAGGGGAGAGTCTTGTCTACGCTGCCTGGCTGCCATGTCCTTGGCTGCGCTGCTCTGTGTGGGCCACGCTCGAGGGTGACTCTCTTTCAGGGAGGCTGCTAGAGAAGAGGAGGTCGCGGGGGGAGGCAAGGCTGGAGCAATGGCACATGTGCCCACAGAGAGGGCTCCGAGTGCCGCCCCTTGCACTCGTGCCATAGGTTCACCATCACTGCTATAGGTTAAATATTCTTGATGACTTATGGAACAAAATGTTGCTATTTGTGTTCATTACTGGGAAAATTAAGGAATTCTCTTTCAGATTGAGAATATGGCTGATATAACTTTGGCAGTATTCTATAAGTAAAATTGTGTGTTATATTCATATAAAGTAAGGATATCTAGACTCTACTAAGTTGTGCAAAGATTTACAATGGTTAAGAATTCTACTGAAATGTTAAGCAAATGTTAAACTATTGCTGTATCAAACATTGCCATTTCATTCCTTCGTTGAAGTTATCTACCTGCTGGACTAGGCATGATGGGTGTTCCAGGTGGCCCTCCACCTCCTGGTGGACCCTTAAAAAAAGAAAGGTAAATCAGTAACGTGCACACACACACACAAATATTGTATAAGCAACATAATTAAAAGATTTGATTAAACAATAACAACTTTTCTAATCAAGCAACAATTTATCATTTACCATTTCATTTTCCAAATGGTAATCTATAGGTACAATGTCACTCAGAGATTTGTTTTTTCCAGCAAGAAAACCTGAATAGCTCAGCAGAATACAATTATTCAGCTAATAAATATTTTATCAACAGATCATCTCAAATTCATAATTGTTCCTTAATTTGATTCAGGTGGAAGAATTTCATTCTGATGGAAAAGACTTGAGGCTTCAGCTCATAGGTACTTTTCTCTCTAGTTAGCACTGATATTCCATAAAACTAACAAAATTCTTTCAGAAGAACTTTGCTAGCATCTCTCTTTATTATCCTGCTCCAAATTTGAATATATACCTTCCTATTAACCCTTTACCTTGAAGACTTCTCTAATTTTCTATTTATATAATTTATATATAATTTATATATATATTTATATATATAATTTATATCAATTTATATAATTGAACTTCCATTTTTGAACTTTTCTTTTTTTCCTGTTCAGCACATAGCAATTTTGGTTTTTGTAACCAAAGCAAATATTAAAGAATTAGTTCCCCTTTCTCACAATTATTTCTAATTTCAACATGGCAAGAAAAAAAATAGTTACTCTTGGTTGTGGTAGACTAAGAAACCAAGATATTTTTTCCCCTTTGTAATAATTTTCTATCTAATGAACTGTTCTGCTCATAATTATCAACAATCAATATACAGCGGTAACTTGGTACTTGTTGTCAATTGGGAAGTGCAATGAATACAAAATTTCTTCCATAAAGAATAATGTACTAGTCAGAAGGCAACTGACATCAGCCAGTTCTAGCTTATGCATTGAGTGCCAAACATACAACAAATACCGAGACCAGATTTTTGTGTCAAAATGCATTGAGTACCAAATTCGATGAGTTTCAAAGCATTTGAGTGCTGAGATACCACTGTACTAGAAATACATGCCAGACATAACTGATGTTCTTGTGCTTTTTTCTCAGCAATTCAACATCTATATTTGAAACTGAACAGAATGGTGTATGCACACAAAGATGTGCACACACACATACTCACTACGTAATTCCCAGGTGAAGCAGAAGAGTACGGTATCTAAAAGACAGTAAGACAATAAAAGTAGGCTATTCTTTTCAGTTCAGATAGAATAACAAGGTTTTTATAAATATTATTTTAAAGTTAGTTTTTACAGAAAAGAAAGAATATACCCATTCTTTCAATTAATTAAACATATTAAGAAAGAGAATGGTACTATTGAAACAAAATCAGTCATATGGAATTACAGGTAGTCCTCAATGTCCATTAGTTTAACCAACTGTTCAAAGTTATGACAGCATTGAACAAAGGGACTTATGACTAGTCCCCGAAAAATCTCTGTGGTCAGGTAAACAAAATTCAGGCCCACTAAGGCTCACCTGCATTTACAACTGCCAGTAGGCCACTTGCCCACCTGCTGGGTGCCACTACTATATTGGACATTTTATCCCCTTTTTTGGCGCATCTGGGATGTTTCTCGTGCCTTCTCCGGGTCTCTATTCACACACTAACTAGAGTCTCCATTAATATCCTGTCCAGGGTCTTCAAGCTGGGTCCTTCTTTTGCACTGCTGGGGTCATCTTTCATGTGCCAGTGAAAAATCCTGAGTGAGGCACAAACAGAGGCCCTGGCTGGCATATGAATGGAAGTCCTGAACAGAATATAAGAGAAGCTCCGGCTGCAACAGCATGAAAGAAGACAGTGCAAAAGAAGGACTCAACTAGTATGGTAATGGTGCACAGGACTGGGTGGTGGGTGCTGCTGCTGGTGGCAGTTAAGCAGATGCCCCAAAGGTCACAGATGGGGTAGAGATAGGCAAGTGGGGGGAGTTCAATAGGAGGCAGAGAAGGCAGTCCCTTAGCTTACTGAGGCTTAGGGTTGGGAGGGTTCAAGCTGGGAATGGCTTGGATCAGGGTGGGTCCTTGCCTAATTACTTGTGGGATTCAGTTAATGATGGCAATGGGGACTGCTGTCACTAAGCAATGCAATCACATAATGTCACAGTTTACAGTTGCATTGCTTTGTAACAGAAATTCTGGTCCCAATTACCATCGTTAACCAAGGACTATCTGTAGAAAAAACATTTTTTACAATTAGTTTTATCCTAACTTTACATATAGAATTTCATAAAAAATAATAAAAAGTCAATTATAAATAAAACAATAAATTTGATCTGATTGTGCAGTTATTAATATTTTAAGTACACAAATAATTAAATTACCATATTATATAAAGGCCTCTGAAATAAGAGTAATCTTTAGTAACTTTTGGAAGACCAAGTACAATCTCTAAAAAGACCTTTCAACCAGACAGTTACTATGTGGAAAAACTGATAAAACAAGCATATTTTGATTAATTTACTTTCACTTCTTTTTAATAGGACAACACTTCATATAAATATTTACTCACAGAATTGGCATTTGTAGGGTTTGGCCAAGGTCTACCACCTCCTGGACCCCTAAAATAAAGATAAAATTTCAGTTTAAATAAGCTATGAAGCTTATTTAATGATAAAATATTTAATAAGCATAAGCAAAATTCATTTGGTTGTTACTGATATTCTTTAAAAAAGCAATTACTGAAGAAAACAAAGTACATTTGATATTGATTTTGTTTTTGCATTTAGAATTTAAAATAAGAACTTTATACGGATTAGTATTAATAACTACAATATATACCTAGAAATATTGTATGGAGATATTTTACATCAGAGGTCTCCAACCTTTTTGGGCTTGAGGACCAGAGGGAAGGAGAGGAGCTTCAAAATTGGTGAGCATGCACACATGGGGCCACGCAAGTGGCACAGCACTAGCAGCCCCATTTATGCATGTGGCATGAACTGGCACTGTGCGCATGTGTGAACGGCTGCACAAACCACCCGGGCTAGCTGTGCATGTGCAAACGGGCTGTGGACACACGTCCCATGTTAGCATACCTGTTTGCATGCATGCGCAAACGGGGCCAGGGGCGCTAGCATGAGTGGGGGGGAATGTACGCCCATGCATGCATGCACCAGCCAGCTGTTTCTGCGGCCTGATGGCCAAGAGCCGGCAGCCCAGGACCAGGCTGTAGACCATAGGTTGGGGACCCCTGTTTTATATGATATTCTGACAAGAAATAAATATCAGTCTAAGGTATATCTAAAATAATCAATCCATCCAAAATTTTAGGTGGCATCATTCATTACCATATCTTTCCTGACCAATTCTGAGTTGTATGTTCTTTATAAATTCAGTTAGTGTACACAACATATCATTTTAGTTATATCTTTAAACTACAGCTGTGCTTACAAATTGCGAATCCTTTTAAATGTTCAATATTTCTACATAAATATCAATTAAACACAATCTGTTCTCCACATCTTCTAAAACTAGATATAAAGAACCCAATTAAATTAATGGGCCAAAACTATTCTATTTTTTCTTTGCTTTGTTGCTTCTGATCCAACTATATTTCATAACCATCAACCTATCTCCACCCTTTCATTCCTGTGAAAAAGTGGTGGGATGGCAGTTGCAGAGGAACCTAGAGAAAGTACTACCTTATTCTTTTCAGTAAAGATTCAAGCTTGGGCAATGGACAAGAATTACGTTGATTGTTCTTACATAAAGGTATGGATGGGAACATATTATTAGCCTTGATGGATTTGCTGAGGACCTTCAATATCATCAATCATGCCATATTTTTGGGCTATTAGCAAACATTAGGAATTGGGGACACCATTCAACAGTGATTCCACTCTTTCCAGAACAGGTAGTTCCAATCAAACATAGGGGAAGTTATCAAATCTAGGACAATCTGTTAAACGGTGTCTACAGGGTTTGACTCATCAATACATTGTTGACATCCAGCTTTGACACGCAGATGATCTGGTAGAAGACTTGAGGCTATAAGGATTTAGATGGTAAAAAACCAGATTCAGACTTAATTCTAATAAGACTGAATGACTGTTGGTTTGGAGGCCATCCTATTTAGCTCTTTATAGTCTGTATTCCCCAGAAACAGCTGGTATGCAATTTTGGGGTTTCCTTGGATTTTCAGCTTCTGCTGAAACAGCAGATGGAAGCTTTAGCCAGGACTTTTCCCTCATTTCATTCAGTTATTCATGGAATATAAGACACAGTTAAGGTCATGTGCTCTTGTCACATGTTTGGACTATTGTAATGCATTTTTACACAGGACTGTCTGTTAAAATCATCAAGAAACTGCAGTTCATGTAGAATTGTAGTTGCCCACATACTGAGATTATGAGGTGGTATATAAAACCAATATTATAGAGCTGAATTGCTGCTATTTGCTTTCAAAATATATCTCCAGATACTAGTTATCAAAGTTAAAGCTCTACATGGTTTGGACCCTTATTATCTACACAATTACTTACTACAAATAGTAACATATTGCACCCCAAATATGTGATTGCCAAAGGTGCTTGTTGAGATGACCCACTCTTCATAAGGTAAGAAGGGAGGGACTTAGAGATGAACATCACTGCAAAACCTTTCTATGGAACACCACTTTGAGATCTAAGATCTGTACTCTCACTCTTAACATTTAGCAAACTTTTGAAAACCTAGTTGTTCATTAAACATTTGAGATAGTAAAGTGTGTTATCATACTGCTGCTAAATTATGTCATCAGTATAAGCAATGGATTAATATGACACTATTTTATTACACTGAATGTGAAGATGTTCAATTTTTTAAATAATAGTATTATTTTTAATAATAGTATACCACTTAGTCATATGACTGAAGCAGTGTAAAAATTCAAGATAATTTATCAAACAAAACAAAAAATTAAAATTTTTTAAAAAATCAATTACAGCTTTATATAACTATACACAAAACCTCTAAAATATATTCTCTCACTAATGATGCCATGTAGGTTTCCTTTTGTTTTGCTGGATGCATCATACTATTGATAAAATCCTTTATTTACAAAACAAAAAGAAAACTTTGCTATCATTTGCAGTTCTTGCACCTTAATGAAAATTAATTCCCTCTACATTGTTATGAAATAACAAGTTTGTTCTGGTAGCTAAGCAACAAGGCTAGAATCTGGGAAAGTTCTAGTTCTGCCTTGGGCACAAAGCAAGCTGGATGACCCCATCATTCTCTCACAGCCTTAGGAAGCAGGCATGGCAAGCCGCTTCCCAAATCTTGCCCCAAAACCTGCAGGGATGAGTCTAGGCAGTTACTAGGAATCAACACTGATTCAAAGGGCCTAAAAAAGAGACAAGTTGTGAACATTATGTGGTTGAAATACTTCTCACATTTTATAGAACTTTGCAAAATTCAATCTCCACCAAAAATTAATATACTGCATTTTAAGAAAATCTCTGAAAAATGTTTCTTCAATTTTAACACTTGCCTCAATATTAATCTTGGCTGTAAGATTATCTTTTATTTCTTAGTATTATAGAAAATAAGGATTAAATCTACCTTGAGAGATTATACGTTCTCAGTTTATAGGTGTCTAAAAGCTCAAAGGGATTGCAAAAAGTATATTTCATAATACAAATGGTAGATTATCAAACCAAGTAATAATAGTCTGACATTTTAAGCATATTTGAAATCTTCACTTGATGTCTTGCTGCTGATGAAATAAAACCCTATGAATCATTACCACAAAGGTTTGTTAACTTCTAATGTATTGAACATTAAAAGGTTTCATATAATGTCAGATAAAATGGATATGCAAACATGTTTTATTTCAAAATGTTTTGAATATGACATGTTGCAAAACATCCTACATCTGAGCTATTTCAAGTATTTTCTAGAAACTTGTTGAGTTGCCAAACCTTGAAACCACCAGAGTATTTCAAGGAATTTTTATGTTCAAAATGTTTTCACCACTCCACCAGTTAAAGAACAAATTCCTATTGGCACTTTGATACATTGTCATTGAGGGTGAAGGTTTGTTCTCTGAGCTTGAGGATTGGTTTCCGAACGTTTCATTACCAGGCTAGGTAACATCTTCAGCAGTTTTTACTGGATGTCTGTGTCAGTTTTCTACTTACATAAGGGCTTTATATAAGTAGTGTGGGAGTGTCAAGTGAGGGTCTTGTGATGGGCCAGGTGTGAGTTACCAGAGAGAGGCTTGTGATGGAAGAATTTCAGGTAAGGGTCATTGGAAGGTATGAATTAGTGGGTCAGGAGTGAGTCATCAATGCGAGGTTGGTAATGGGTCTTGTGATGGGGAAATTATGTCAGGTCAGGGTCATTGAAAAGTGAACTGCTGGGGGGGAAGGGCTTGAAGGTTGTTGCTGTCTCTGGATGGCGGTTTGATTGATTTGGATTCTGAGAGGTCCATATGCTGATTGTAGATCAATATGTCTGTTGATGGAATTGCTTGTGCAGTGCCAGGCTTTAATGAACTGACGAGCATGGTGGGTGGTAGCGTGGCCGATGATTTTAGTGTTGCTCCAATTGAACTGGTGTTGTTTGGTGTCAGTGTGGGTAGCGATTAGGGATTTTGGATTGTGACATTTGTCATTATTTTTTGCCAGTTAATTGATACATGCTTGTATGTCTTTATTTTAAATGCACTTACATCTCTGCCATTACTTTTAATCGAAGACAACTTCCTTATTGTGTGTTAGTGCAATTTACATTACTTACATGTTCATTCCTGGTATTCCAGGGCCACCTAAAGCATTCAGTGGGGGTCTCATTGCACCTCCATAGTTCTGCAATGATAACCAAGGGTCAGACTACCACAAAACAAAAAAACAAAACCAAAGAGGAGGGAAAAAAAAAGGACAGCAAGTTAATGACTTCCCTACACATCTGCTAATTGGATCGGCCAGTGTCATTCATTGTTAGATTTTTAACTGCTCAATTTATAAACAATTATTTCTATACTCCCTCTGATTTAAAAAAAAACCTATTTACGTTTTTTTTCTGACCTTATTATCTTATCAAAGGAAGTAAACACATTTAATTGATTAATGAAGATTATATCATTTATAACAACTAGCACAATTATCAGCAAAAGGCAGGTTTTGCCATTTCATGAATGCTGACTTAATATTCTAATATTAAGGGACTGAGTGAGTTTTAAACTAAGTTTTTAAGAGTAAGCTTTTGTTATTAATAATAGATTTATTAACTTTAACAATAGATATATATACTTATACTATGTAAGAAAACATATTTTACTTAAAAGCATTTACAGCAATGGACTGTTCAATAAACAGAGAAAATGACACATAAATCTTAAATAGTCTAGTGCTGTATTTATATATAAAGATGCACTTTCAAATTAACTATTTATCGTATCAGCAGCACAAACTGGATTCTCTTTTAATTATTTGAAAAATTATACTCTTCCACAGATCTATCCATAATTATAATTTGGTCACCTTAAAATAATATATAAAGTTAATTTAGTGACTGCTATACATAAATTTTACTTTTTGGAACTATAATTAGACTAGATTGTCTAAAACTATTAAAATAGTTCTTATTTCAGTTTCTGTAAGAAATTTTTTTTTGATAGTTCCACTATTAGAAATTTTAGTCATCACAATTTTATCTGATTAAAAAAAATCTGAGGAAAAAGGTTATAAATATAAGTTTCACAGAATGCTATGCCTTTGTTAGTTTATTTTTATCTGTTGCTTTTCTAAATTCTGTTGACTGGATTTTGATCCACTTCACAAATTAAGAGCAAGGTGAAATGGGGAAAAGATTTTTAAAAATGAAAATCTGAGAGATTTTGGCCAACATGAGTTAAAAAAACAAGTATAGAGCCTTAAGAAGGTATTCAACAGCTGTTTGGTAAACATGAAAGGAAATGAGAGTTTAAATAATAATAATAAGAGTTCCAGTAATAATAAGAAATAATAAGAGTTCCAGTAATCTTTGTAGCATTTGTTTCCTGACGTGGTCTACCTCAAAGGGATACAAAGGAAAATCTGCAAAATTATCCATTTGATTTCTTTCATGTTTTCTCTCTTTTTAGAAAGTATTTTGCATTTATTGGAGGAATATCTGTAATATAATATTGCGGACATGATGTAATATTAACCAAAGAAATATTGAAAGCCTGATGCTTTATTTAATGTCAGGCAACTTTAATTAATGTGAAGTAAAATAATTTGTATATTTTAACCATATTTATTTCAACTAAATAAATGTGATTAAAACATTTGAAAAATATTTTACAAAGAACAAATGAATGTAATGTAATAAGTTATTGACAGAATTCTATTACAACTGTTATCACTAGCATTTGCTCCCAATATCAAGCACACACTCCTTCTGTATGTTCTTATTAACTTATCAATCATAACTTTAATATATAAATGGGATATATATGTACAGAAACTTTATTTATTTATAAAATGTACAAGCTCTGAATGGCTTAAAAATGCACATGAACAAATATAGCAGATAATTTTAAAACCATGTAACATTCTAAAGCAATATTAAAATTAAATGTTCAGGCTTTAAAAACCAAAACTATATAAAGTTCTTACAGTTTTTAAGGCTCTCTGAATTTTAACAGCAATTTATGTTTGATTTTTAACTAAAAGTAGCTGTGTGCATGTTCTCATCCTTGTTCAAATTTTTAAGAGAAATTATGTAGAATAACTTCAAGTAGCAAAATATGTTTACTGTAAGAATACATCTCTTTGTTTCTCTTTCTCTCATAGGAAATTATGAGAAATATGATCACATGAAAGACAATTAGAGCAATATACCTGTGGGCCTAGGGGGACCATTCCCCGAGGTGGAGTCATCCTTTGCATTGGACCTCCCATATTTGGATGACCTAAAAGATTCATGAAAAAAAAATAGAAATACAATTTTTGTTTAATCAGATTGATTCAGATTATAAATGCATTTTAATCAGAGTGCAAATTTGTTTTCCCTATGATTAAAATATTTTGTAAAAAGTTGTGTCAGATATAATTTCAGAAAAGTTATTTTTCTTTCATTCAGATTCAAAGAGAATTCCTCTTCTAAGTTGATGTCTCCCATTCCTCTCATTTGGATTTGCTTAAAAACATAGGCTTCCCTCTCCCCAAACTTTATTTTAATTAAATTGCCAATTTAATAAATTTAGGAGAACAGTATTTAGGGAATGCGTTTATCCCTGCAATTTGTATTGGTGATAGACAGACAGATGACATTTGTTTTTGTTTAAATATAGCACATTTACTGTAGATATAGTAGTGCTGTACAACATAAATTTAAGAGTTGTTCAATATGAATGTTGTCAACTAAATATATCATCTTGTACAAGAGCTAAATAATGTGCCGCAGCAGGACGTATTTTAAATTATTTAAAACCTTTAATAAAGAAGGCTAATAAATCTCATTAGGTTAAAAGGATCTTTAAGATAATCCTGCTGCCCCACAATCAATAACAATTTAGAAACATGAAAATCTACGATCTTACATGATTTGGTAAAGACAGAAAAACAAACCTTGTACGTCCCATCTCCTAAAAAGTTCCATCTAATGCTAACTAGATGATGTGTTTTTTCTCTGTGGCTTCTGTTCTTTGGAATATCATTGCCAACTGCGGTGAAGTCACCCCCATCCCTGTTAGCCTTTTGGAAGGACCTACAACTTTGTGGATCCCATGGGTTCCAAGATGGTTGTATTTTGCTGAGATAGTTGTTATTCTCCTGAAAGCCTGCTTTTTATTTATTATTATGTTTATTGTTTTAAGTTTTTAATGGTTGCACATTGTTTTAATTGTTAGCTCTACACCACCCAGAATCATGGCCGTAGGTAGCCATATAAATTTGCTAAATAAATAAAACATGAATTACTTAAACAGAAATAATTGTTCCCTTTTACATTTAAATCATGAGTATAATAGTATGAATGTATTTCTTACAATATTCTGGATGCCGTTCCAATGTATTAACAAATGGAAGTTTGATGATAAGAAGTCATTTATTCAGTTATTTCCATTGATCATATTTCCATTGATAATTTACCTTGCTGTCGTGTTGGATCCATCCCACTAGGCAATAATGGCTGACTTCCTGGGACGCCTCCTAGTGCCTATTAAAAAGTTTGCAGAGAAATTTTCTACTTGAATATCATATTTACGTTTTTTTAAAAAATAATGCAATCTATTTTCTTTTTGAAAAATCCTATAATTTCATCCTAAAAGAATGGGAATCCAAAATTACCTTCTTTTACAACTAATCCCAACTTATTTTGTATATTTCAAGATTTTCCCATAAAATCAAATTAAATTTACGACATTTTAAAGACAATACTTTATATACAGAATTTGTTTATCTGCTGTAACATGTTTGGATATGATATACTCATACAATAAACATATCAAATATCTACATCATCAATGCAGTTTTTAAGACCTGCTGTTTTCAAAATGCATATAAGTTTGCCTTTCCCAGCTAAGTGTTTCTTTGCATTTGGCATTTCTCTGATTAAAAAAAACTGTTACCTGATTGGGTATCCTTAAAGGTGGCCTTGGGCCTCCTGGATATCGAGGAGACATGAAAGGCTACAAAACAGGAAAACAAATGCAATAAAAATAGAGATACAAGTCTAATTCAAAAGTAACTACATACTGCTTTAGCTATATGGCCATTAGCATGCTTTGCTAATGGTGATCTTGATCTGGAAACCTCTGAGGGCCTCAGAAGCCTTCTATTTATTTTTTATTAACATTCTGTATGTTAACTATCTGCAAATTTTTGACAAATAATGGTCAGAAATTTTCCTAAACAAGTTCATATAAGCTAGCTATTATTATATATCTCTTTCTCTTCTAACTCAGGAACTAGCCTCTGGGAACATTCATTCTGGTTGAGCTTTCATAAATGCTCAAAACCAGGATTAAAGTAATTTAAATTTTCACAGCTATTTCATCAAATGGCGCTTCGTTGTTCAACTCAAATATGTATATACTGTTAATAAAACTAATTCACTGAAGAAAATCAAGGTCCATTTTTAGATATTTTAAAAATAAAGGTAGTCCTCAACTTAGATTGGTTGCTTAGCGACTGTTCAAAATTATGGCGGAGCTCTCTGGGAGTATTTATGACCCAGTACTAAAGCTCTGATGGTAGCCCCTTCCCCCAGTAACATGAACTGAAGTCTGGTGATCAACAACTATCCTACATTTGTGGCCATTTGAAGCATTCCATATTCATGTGACTGTGCTTTACCTAAAATCAGCATTTACTTCTGACTTTCGACAAAATTGGCCCATAGTGAAACATTGGTTTGTTTAATGACCATAGCAATTGTTTTGTGATCTTAGCATTTGCTTAAGAACCATGGCAAAAAGGTAACAATTTTGTCACATGGATGACTCAATTTACAACCATTACAGTCTATGACTATCATGAGCAGGCTCCATTATGGTTGTGAGCTGAAGACTATCTTTATTTAAAAAATACCTAACATAGCCAGAATTGAATGAGTGATATTCTGCCACCATGCAATCCAAATACTTATTGGTTATTTAATCAGCTTCAGACTTTGTGTTGTTGAGTTACATAGCAAAGTAATTTTTTTTGTACCAAAATAATTTTAGAATCACGTGGTTTGCTGTTTTGTATTTTCATTTTTTTTCCTGAATTACAAAAATGTAAATATAGAGAGAAAGCTCTAGTCACTGTAGATGTATGAAAGTTATGTATTTAGAAGAAACCTCTGAATCTTTAAGCATAGTTTTGAAGGCCTGAAAGGAAAGTATTTCAGTTAGACCAGTGGTTCACAACCTGTGGGTCGGGACCCCATTTGGGGTCGAACGACCATTTCACGGGGGTCGCCAAACAATGCAGTCCGCCATTTCCCCCCCTTTTCCTTAGCTGTGCTACTCCCTTTTATTCTATTGGCTTTTGAAAGTCAATAGAATAGACTCTCTTGAATAGAGTCTAATTCTATTGGCTTTCAAAAGCCAATAGGAATTGTCCAGGCTGTCTCTGCCCTGCTGAGCCCGCCAAAAGTCCCATTCTGCAAACGGTGCTGCACCAGTTGAATAGTCCTTGACTTACGGCCGGTTGAGTAGTCCTCAACTTACGACCGGTTGGGGGTCATGGCATTAAAAAGGTTGAGAACCACTGAGTTAGACAAACAGCTTTTCTATATTAGTATTATGCTATAGGAAGAGCTACTATCAATAGCACAAGGTAAATTAAGGTTATCCAAAATTCAAATGACCTTATAGACTAAAGCTTGGAGAAAAAAAATAATTTTATAACCATCCATTAATATTCAAGTTTTTAAAAACTTTAATAGTGGTAACAATAGCATTACCAGATTAGCAATTTATATTACCAATGTAGTATCTTTGCTCTTTCTGTTTTTTACCCAATAATTTATTAAGAATTATATTAAACAGATAAAATATATACAAAACCCCCCAAAACACATTAAAATATATAGAAAGTTCAGAGCACCATAAAAAAAATAGGAAAAAGAAAATAGGAAAAAGAAACATTTTCCTTCATCTCCACCAAATATATTCAACGTTAATATTTTATCAATGTCTCTTAAAATAAAACCAAATGCATATTGATGCCATACCTTACCCCATTTTCTAATTCCTCAGCTCTATTTATTAGCAATTTTATTCTTTCTCTGGAATGTACACCATAATATGTACAATACTATAACATCAAATCTGTTCTGCAGAGAATGCAGTGACCACAAGATGGCGTCATACCCTTATAATCATTATACATTTTTATAAACTTTCACAAAAACACACAAACTATTATTTTTAAATTCAACACCTATTTTTAATTTTGATTTACAACTATAAGTGATAACTTTGCCAATTTGTAACTATATAACAAAATGGAATAAAGATATTCACATTAAGCAAATTCTTGATTTAATGGACTCATGGGAGATAGAAAAGTCTGTTAGACCCAAATGTCCATTACATTTGAGTGGGATTTGAAGCATGCGGAAAATATATTATATTTGGGTAAAATAGTTAATGGAGTTTACATATGTATAAAATGGCACTGTGCCTATGAAACTGGAAAACAGATTTTATCTCTTGCAGCGAACATCTAGCAAATTGAAGGTTAAACATTTCATATTTTCTTACCCTGAAATACCTTTTGGTCACTACTAGTCACTAATATAAATAATTTAATCAATATTTTATTGTGTAGATTTGTTTTACAAGATCACTCAGAATTAAATCTTTTTCAGTGTATCTCATATCAGCAAGGTGTATTTTATTTTCTGGATTACTTGCCACTTATCTTTGTACATACATCTACGGCACTGATTCAATTTGAACTCAAATATTTTAATTTTCCCTTAGTAAAACCCTCTATCACCTTCATCCTTAGAAAATCTAAAATGACACCATGATCATCTAACAAATAGAATGTTCAAATCTTGCGTAGTATAATGTATGCCCGGAGAATGTGCATAAGCATACATCTAGTTCCTAACCATAACAAATAAAAATTAATTGCAACTGAGTAATGATAATTATTTGCATGTATCTGTACATTTGTTACCTATAGAAAAGCCAAATGACTGGAATGCATGTAATTGTTCAGCAGTTGGAAGCAGTTAAAATGCATTTAGAACCAATTTTGATTTCTAAATATTCTACATTTAAAAACACACAAAAGTACTGGTTCTTCTGGTGTTCGTATCAATATTCATTTTTAAAAGAAGGCTGGACATTACCATAAAGTTTTTTTTACAAACAATGCATATGTCAACTGCTTATTAAGTCAATTTCCCCCCAAATTCCTTATTATATTTCAGGTTCAGTTGTACCTCACATGTATAAAATTCTGCAATTTATTTTACCTTTGTTCACTTTATAAAATTGCTCTTTAGTAATGCCCTCTGGTGCCTGAAAATTAATCTTTCAGCAGTTTCTCAATGGCAGGGTTGATAAATTCAGTCAACAACAAAAAGTTGTTGCCTTTAAGGTCTCTACAGTTGGAAATCATTTTTGTTACTAATACCATGTGTTACTGTTCAACAGAAATCAATAAAATTGTACACTGAAAGCATTGTGACACTGTGTATTGATGCAAAATTTAGTTACATCACTTCATATAGAAGACAAAGCTAATATGTGTGCTTAGGGCTGAGAGCTACGATTGCCCTATACAAAAGCAATTCTGTGCCTGCTTGTTCTTTTGTAATCCCTTCCTCTCTAATCTGTCCACATTGCAAAAGGGGTGAGGAATGACAAGTGATTTCTACAGCAATTGTCTTCTGTGCCCAACCTGTTCCTCTCACTCTCTCAGAGCTGTGAGATTGGAGAGAATAAGAGAGTAAGCAGGCACATAATAGGGAATACACCAGGCTGTTGCATAGTGGACTCGGGGCTACTATCATCACTATATTCTCTTTTATATGTACTCCTTTATTATGTGCCTGTTTACTCTTTTGTAATGAAAATACTTTTCCTACTACACTTAATATGTAATATTGATACCACAGATATATTTCACCTCTGAAAATATTGTCTCTTGATATTTAATTCCTGTGAATTATCTTATTCATCATTACTTCCTTCTGCTTTAAGAATAAAACAAAATAATATTCTTAATCTATAAGCAATAATAATCAAGTCAATAATAATAATAAAGCTTCTTTTAACATATAAAAAACAAGAAAAAAGTCAAGGAAATGATTGGTCCATTAATGGAAGAAAATGAAAAAAATATAGCACATTATAGTACTACATAATACCATTTATGTTTACTTATCATTTGAGGTCTATAAAATGCTTTTTGTGCTGAAATTCACAAAGGTATTTTTGGGTACAGCCTAGATTTATATTTATTCCATGTTTTAACAATGGTCTGCCACACATAATTAATTTTGACATCTACATTAACCTTATTATACCATAGATATCCATGCCATCCAAATATCAGATCATGTCCTAACTGCTATAAGCTTCTATTTCTTTAAAATGGAATATTTTTCAAAGCAGGTATTCATCAAATAGATACTATTCCCATTCACTTTTTGCTCTACAAATGCCCAATTGCTGTTTCCACATTCTGTCGTATCATTCTCACCCACCCCTTTCATGTCTCTAAAAGAATAATATTTTCTACGGGATTTACTTCATTCAGTATATTGCAGAATGTCTGGTTCTTCCATTATCATCCTTTTAAAATGTAACATGCAACTATCATCATCTGTGGTCTTCTACCATCATAAGCACCTAAAACAATAAAAAAGATACCAATTCCTATTTTATCCCCTACGTTTCAGCTATTCCATTTATAATTAAACTTACTTCTTCATTTCCTTGCAGCTATATACCAATCCTACCCCACAGAATCAGACCACCTTTACTCACATCGATTATATCCTTCCCCCTTTTGTTGGGTTGGCAGATACATGGCCTTTCTCGCCCCTTTCTTTTCATATTATTATTTAAACCTTTTACACTAAATTTGCATTCTTCCCAATTCCATGGCCATTACTAGACGGACTAGTGATATTGTCTGTATTAACAGAGGGATAGAATCAAGATCATATGAAATGTTAATACCACTTTATAATGCCTTGGTAAGACACACTTGGAATACTGCATCCAGTTTTGGTTGCCATGATGTAAAAAAGATGTTGAGAAAGAGTACAAAGAAGAGCAACAAAGATGATCAGGGGGACTGGCGGCTAAAACATATGAAGAATGGTGCTGGAATTGGGTATGTCTAGTTGTTCAGAAGTAGGCAACCTTGGCTCTTTTATGACTCGCGGACTTCAACTCCCAAAATTCCTGAGCCAGCCATGCTGAGGGGAAAGGGAGAGTTTCCAATCTGAGCCATGCTTGCTCAGGAACTCTGGGAGCTGAAGTCCACGAATCATAAAAGAGCCAAGGTTGCCTACCCCTGGTCTAGTTTAATAAAGAGAAGGACTAGGGGTGATATGATAGCAGTGTTCCAATATCTCAGAGGCTGCCACAAAGAAGAGGGAGTCAAGCTATTCTCCAAAGCACCTGAAGGCAGGACAAGAAGCAATGGATGGAAACTCTCCAAGGAGAGAAGCAACCTAGAACTAAGGAGAAACTTCCTGACAGTTAGAACAATTAATCAGTGGAACAACTTGCCTCCAGAAGTTGTGAATGCTCCAACACTGGAAGTTTTTAAGAAGAGACTGGACAACCATTTGTCTGAAATGGTATAAGGTTTCCTGCCTGAACAAGGGGTTGGACTAGAAGACCTCCAAGGTACCTTCCAACTCTGTTATTCTGTCATTCTTTCATTATTCATCATGACTTTTAGTAAGATAAAGAAAATATAGACTATGTTGTCAACCCTAGTTATATACATGTCACATGCAGCATTCCCAGATAGTAACACTTTGTCTCCATTATCAAAACTAATTAGATCACCAACAGGACTGCCTCTCAGACCACAGGAAAACTTATCCTCCAGAAACTGGATCTATCCATTTCCATTTAGTACGTGGACAAGAGCAACCCTGTGCAGCTTCCAGATAGCACCTCATCCTAAGTTGACTAGTAATGTGACCACTGCACCAAGTTAAATGATTCTCCATATTTAAATCTTCATATAACTTCCCTGAGGCAAGTACAAAGTCAAATATATGACCATCAGTTACTTGAGATAAGTCTGTGGTTTTAAATATTGAGATTTTTTTGACTCAAGGCAAGAAAATTGACAAACAAATTGACAAAGGAAATGACAAACAAACCTGTAAATCAGATAAAAATCAAGGAGCCAAGTAGCAGGATGGTTGGTATGCCAGTTTCTGCCTATAGCCCAAATTAACATGTATGCTCTTATCCATCAGCCATACTGCCTCTACTTCCAAATTCAAATATGTTGTCCTATAAAAGAAGTGTTATCCCAACCTGATTCTTAACCATGTAGCTACTATAGTACCTACAACCTGGTTGGGCACTTCTCTAAAATGCTTGGATTGTCCAGCAGATCTCAGTAATACTCAGTATATCTGTTGTGAATTAAGGTGTGAATAATCATAGTCTCTGTCTCTCTCTCCCACAAACATACACACAATCTATATGTATAATTATATTTTCACTATCCTTAGTAACAGTTTTTATCCACAAAAGCTAATATTCATTTGGCTTTGTTTTACCTCTTAGTGAAAGATAAAACATAATTTGGTTCTCAAATTTAATGCTTTCATCACTAAACATAATTTGATATACAAGTAGTCCTCGACTTGCTCATCTTTTAATGATGATCTGAGGTGACAACAGCCTTGGAAAGGGTGCCTTATGGCCTTCCAACAATTGGAAAACATCACCTCTGCCTCTTACAGACACAGGATTGCAATTCAGGTGCTTGGCAACCAGCTCACATTTATGACTGGTTGCAGTGTCCTGTGGTCACGACGTGTGATTACAAATTGCTAGTTTGAACTTGCCTAACAGATTAAGCTACTATTTGCTGTAGCATATATCTTTAATAAAGTATCAAAATAATACAATTTAACTTAGACTCTACTAGACAAAGTAGCAAAGCAAGCAACCAATTTCTTCTATCATACAACTTCTCCTCTGGCCCATATATATTAAGTTATCACTGCACATTTAACATTTTATTGTAGATTTTAAGTTTGCACTGCTGATATAAATAGCATAAACTTATTTTCTATTGAGAAAATCCATAGTAACAACCTATTCTATCCTAACGGTTTAAATAGTGCATTTCATTCATGGAAGAAATGGTATTCTTTCATGGCAGTGCCAGAAAATGCTACTTTCTCTTTTCTAAGTTCTGAAAGCCCTATAATCAATTTTTTCTGAATACCTGAAAAAAACCCGGTGGTACAGGACCTACTGGCATGCCATCTCCTGGGGGAATGTTTCCTAGCACTGGACTGGGAGCTGCTGCAGCGCTCTGAAAAGAACAAAGGAAAAATAAACCTTTGTCATTGCACACAATAGGCATAAAACCAAAATACTACTTTGACCATAGTGTGGCAAGGCAGAAAGGAACACTCTCTGCATGACAGATTTAATTTTCTCTTCCATTTAAAATAATTAGTGCTCATTTTCAAAGTGCAGAAGTGGAACACTTAAATACAAACGTAGATTTCTTTAATAAATTACTGCCTTACACTCACAATTGAAAGGGAAACTCAGGGACCAGGAACTTCATTTAGTTTAAACAAAGACTTGTAAATTGTGCATTTACAAAAGGTTCTCCTATAACTCAGTCCAATTGGTAGCTTCTGATCAGAAAAGAAGCATGTCAGCTAATCAGCTAATATTCAATACAAAATATTATGAAAGAATTCTGTCATAAATACACTAACACAATTCTATAACTGAATGCACAGTATCAGTGTAATTTTATAATCTATTAAGAAACAGTCTCCTTAAAAATATAATGAACTTTATATATGTGGAATGATGCCTTAGAGATCAAATTAGATATAATAAATGATGTAAACAATTGCAGTATGAAATTGGGAACCATGTTTAGTTATCCTTATTTCACTCAGGTGCTAATAACAACCTGAGCAATAAGAATTAAATCAACAAAAGAGTATATATCTGATGAAAAAGAACCATATTTATCCCACACTATTTTTCTAGTAAAAGATGGAAGATCCAATCTTAGTCTCCCACATAACAGCTTTCAGTCCTAAAACTGGGGTTCTCAAACTTGTTAGCACCATGATTCCAACAAAAGTTGGGATGATGATGAGGATAGTTCAAGATCAGATGGAAGAATAAAACCTTTTCTAATCCCCTTCCTCTTTGCATTACAATCTAGAATCTCAAGTTGTCATCCCAAGCAGCTGGCTGGGGATGATGGGAACTGAATTTTTCCCTGCTGCTGCTGAAGCCTTGCTTTGGGGGAAGCTGGCTGATCTCTGATGGCTTTACACCTGGGAAGGTTACCCTAAGGGGGAGTTTACTTTGCATGCTTTTCTCTACTATGCATAATTACCCCTGAGGAGCAAGTAGTTGGGATTTCTATATTCCTGAGAGAAGTACCTTCCTGCTAAGTACCCGCTTTGGAAATTTGGGCTCCCTTAACAAAAGCTTTGCAGACAGGATGGTAAAGGGGAAGGGGATGGGAAATCATTTTAAAAGGAAAGAAGAAAGGAGGAAAACAAACTAAAGTAACAACAATAACCTAACTATAGTGAAGCACTTGTGGTTGCTTTCTATGGTACCCACAATTTGGCTCTCTAGTCCAAAGCGCCTGAAGGCAGGACAAGAAGCAACGGATGGAAACTAACCAAAGAGAGAAGCAACCTAGAATTAAGGAGAAACTTCCTGACAGTTAGAACAATTAACCAGTGGCACAACCTGCCTCCAGAAGTTGTGAATGCTCCAACACTGGAAATTTTTAAGAAGAGACTCGACAGCCATTTGTCTGAGATGGTATAGGGTTACCTGCCTGAGCAGGGGGGTTGGACTTGATGACTTCCAAGGTTCCTTCCAACTTTATTATTATTATTATTACTACTACTACTACTACTGCTACTACTACTACTATAGTCAGTCCTTTAGTAGATTCAAAAGATGATGATCCAGTAGCTGTGATAACCCTCTTGGGATCGATTGGATCTTAGGACAGTCCTTCTAATATTCAAGACAATTAGAGAGCCTGCAATGGGGGGGGGGGAAAGGGACTGCCTGAAAAAGAGGCTGGATGACCTTTGCTATGGAAAGAACATGACTGTTATAGTTTTGAGGGTTCCAAGGTCTTTGAAAAGTCTTGTACCCTGTGTGGCTGCTGAAGAAGCACCTAGTATTGGAGGAAAAGGCTGACATTGAGTTGCTAAACCAGGAGTGGAGAATGAGTCTTCCTCCAATTTGCTAAGTATATAGTTATCCACTGATGTGATAGCTTTTGATCAGAGTCTGTTTGCTGTTCTTGCCAGTTGTCTGCCAATGATGGCAGAAGAAGCCAAGTGTGTACTATGTGAACCAGCAGTTATCCAATGTAGTGTGTTTACTGACATTCTCTGTTCTCAATTTTGAGGGGGTATCACGTTCATACTGCTTGTACCTCTCCTTGCTGTCAGCTATGGGCCATGTGCAGCACAGATTCTTTCTATCCGTCATCCCCAGAAATTAGACCTCTATGCTGAAGTTTCCTTCTGGCATTCTTTAACATGTTTTGGCCCCCATACATTTACCACACGTCTCAAATTAGCTTGTAGCCTCCAAGGGAGTCAAGGTCTAGTTTGAAAATCCTCCTCCTAAGGCATTCTGTTTTATAGGAAGTTAACATATGTTATAATACAACTAAATTTAGATTATCCTGAATTAATGCAAAACAGCAGCTGCAGGAAGAAATAAATTAACATGCTGATCGTTGATTAGATAACAGGGTAAGATGAAGCCTTTATCATAATTTTCATCCACAGTATGAAACTTTGAATGTGCATTAAAATTGAGAGTATGCAGAATACTACTTTTATTTTTGTTTCCTATACAATGTGGATTCTTTCTTTTGGCAAATGTACAGCTACTTATATTACATGTTACAAAAAGCTCTGAAATAAAATTGCTGAAAAATGAACTGATATTATAGGTTTGTATGGTATTTAGAAAATGTTAATTTTTGAAAGATATTCCATTTTTTTAAGTGAACCAAGGATGAAATATAAGATGATTATAGATACCTTTCAAATTAAGTAGGCAGAAAATACAGCTCCTCTATTGCAATAAAGAAATTGTTATTTCTTCCAGTTATTCAAATTATCATTACATCTAGATTGATAAAAGTCTTTCTAATAGCACTATATTTTGGTGCTGTATTTGGTATGAAAAGATTTCTAACATCATACTCTTATGAGTTCAGAGGATTTATTTATTATAAATGAATTATAATTTCTCATGGAATAGAATTGGCCACTGGGTGTCACTTTTGCACCCAATATGTAAAGTTCATTTTGAATGAATTGAGTTTTTAGCATAATACCTAGCTTAAGAAACCATACCACATAATTTTGAGTGTGTAAACTAAATTACACTATGATGACACAAGGTGATGCTGTTTTTCTATAGACTTCACAAAAACGGGTGAAAACAGGAAGTTTAGATTGCAAACATTTGTTTTTGCAGATGAATCTAATTTAGTCACTTATTTAACTGCTACATTAAAAATTAGAACTAGAGATAAAGTGGTATGAAACTGTATGTATATCTGTACAGACAAGCACACAACGGCAGGTAACAAACTACTTTTGCATCCATTTTAATAGTATCTATGTGATTCTGTAAAATAGATCACAATTACACATAAAATGAAAAAAAAGTTAACTAGAAACTTCTTTCAAGTGTGTCACAAATAAATTATAAAATATTGGTATAATTCGCAAAATAAACTTTTTTTTAAAGATCTAAATCAACATTATAAAAATAATATTTAAAGTAATTATATATGGACTTCCATGTAGTGCACTAACCATAATTTAATGTTAAAATAATTTCTCGCTGCCCTCTTTTTCTGCAAGAATTCTTACTTCTATTTCAGATTAAGCATATCTTCCTGTCAGTTTATGAAGCTGAAGGATCATCATAGTTTACTGATAATTGCATACATCATCCATTAATTATGATGCAACGGTATTTTTTTTGTTTTTCTGTAATCTAGAGGTTTAAATTTTAACCCTTCCCAGTTACAGTTCTAGAAAAGTTGCATATTGAGTACAGTTTCATATTATACATTACAAAACTGATTGACATATATTTAGTAGTTTCCTATTTCTCTATCTGCAGTATTGCAAAAGTTCTTAATTTTATAATCTGAGAAACACTACTCAGCAATTTGCGTTGTTTATAAAAAATTGATTTTTTTGTAGTCTATTTCCTATGTAAGCTAATGGGATATTAAAAATATAGACTTCATTATAGTACATGAGACAGCAACAAAACAATGGATCAAACAGCTATTTGAGCAGAGTGATCTATAACCATATAGAATATCTAACCTTCAAGAACATAATTAATTTTACTCATACAGCCACCATTCTTTTTAAATAATATAAAAGATAAATCAAGCAATGGCATTGTTTGGTCTTGGCTGTTCCTTCTGAAACATATTGTTCTGAAAAATCACTGTCACTCCTTGGCAAGGGTCACAAAAGACGACTCTGGCAACATCTCATAATCATTTCTTTATAATAAATACATATATAAACTTTCCATATTAGAATGGAGAGATCTATACAAAAATAAAACAAGCCATAACATTAATAAATCAAAAATAAAAGATGAAGAGGCACAGTCTTAATTTGAAAAGTGACATGGTTTTAGGTTACGTTTAGAATATCCCAGTATTGGTCTGTTTATAATTGGTAGTTACTTCTAACAACTTTGATATGATTGTTTATGAAACTTGTCAAAAAGTGTATGTAACTATTTAATGAATATTTAGAATTCTAAGTTTTTAGGATAATCATGTTTCCCAATATCATATTTCTAACATTTCTAAACAAATGAAGTCTTGACTATAATGCAAAGCCACTTGGACAAGCTTTATATATATAGGATTTACATCTAACCAATTCTAAATGCACTCTCTGGAAGCTGTATTTTTTGTCTACCTTTTAGAACCTAATTTTCAGAGAACTGGCTTTAAAATATAGTTTTAAGACAAGCAAAGAGCAAACTAGACATAGTTTCAGTTTATTCTTCACTCTAATCACCATTTCATTCCATAATGACCTACTTCACCACAAAATGATATGCATCTTGAAGATTTGCTTCTTATAGTTCTGCTCTTTAATACCACCTAACTCTGAAATCCAAACGAACTGATTTGAGTGAGACTTGGGGGAAACAGAAGTTCAGAGTTTGAATGTGGCATGTTTTTCTTTTTTAAATCTCTGTTCTGTCCCCAGTGGAATCATTTCTAAACACAATTATTGA